CCCATCCCAGTCCCAAATCCCATCCCAGTCTCAAATCCCATCCCAGTTCCAAATTCCATCCCAGTCCCAAATTCCATCCCAAATCCCAAAACATATCTGAGTCCCAAATTCCATCCCAAATCCCAAATCCCATCCCAGTTCCAAATTCCATCCCCAGTCCCAAATTCCATCCCAAATCCCATCCCAGTCCCAAATCCCATCCCAGTCCCAAATCTCACCCCAAATCCCATCCCATCCAACCCAACGCCATCCCAACCCCAAATCCCATCCCAAATCCCAAATCCTACTCCAAAACCCAAATCCCACCCCAAAAATCACCTCCAACCCCAAGTCTCGTCCCAAACCCCAAATCCCATCCCAGTCCCAAATTCCCATCCCCAATCCCATTTCTCCTCCCATTTTTGGTGTCCCCCACTCCAATCAAATCCCACTTCCCATACCAAATCCCACCTCACCCAATCCCAAATCCCAAACCCCATCCAACCCAACCCAACCCAACCCCATCCCAAACCCCAAATCCATCCCCAAGCCTTCTACGAGCCCTGGAGCTCCATCCCATCCACACACCCTGATCCCAAATCCCAAATCCCAACTCATCCCATGCATTCCGTCTCAAAAGTAACTCAACCCAACCCAACTCAACCCAATCCAACTCAACCCAACTCAATACGATCCAACAACTCAACCCAACCCAAACCAACTCAACCCAACCCAACCCAACTCAACCCAACCCTACCCAACTCAACCCAACCCTATCCAATCTCACCCACCCCAAACACCAAATCCAACCCCAAAAACCACCCCAAACCCCAACCCCCAACCCCCACTCTTGTTGCCAGCCTTCATGCGGGAGGAGATGGCCCAACGCGAAGCCGCCGAGCTGCGCCGGGGCCACCGCAAGCCGCGCAGCCCCCACGGCTGGGGCCTGCTGGAGGCCCTGTGGCTCCTGGCCTTCTACGAGCCCGTGGTGACCGAGGGCCACCTTCGGAGGAAGAACCTGGAGTTCATCTTCATCCGCTTCAGCGCCTGGGAGTTCGCCGGCTGCGACAAGCTCTGGGCCGGGCTGGTGACCACGCTGTGCCACCACGTCCGGCAGCACTTCGGCGCCTTGCCGCTCAGCGTCTTCCACGTGCTGGGCTCGCGGCCGCGCTTCGCCTCCGGCTTCTCGCAGCGCGAGTGGGTCCTGAAGAAAGGGACCTGCCTGCGGCTCTGGGGGCTGCTGCTGGTGCTGGCCGTGGGCATCGCCATCCTCCTGGTGGCCCTGCTGGTGCCGGGCATCAAGGACCACCACGCCCTCAAGGTGGTGGGCAGCGCTGCGGCCTCGCTGTCGGGCTCCTCGCTGGTGCTGGGCGCCTTGTCCATCCTCAAGAACTTCCTGGTCAGCGAGAAGAAGAAGATCGAGCGCTTGACCAACAGCGACAGGTTCGCCGGGCAGTTGGGTTTCATGAGCAAGATCCGCGATGAGGTGGAGGTCTTGGTGGATTATTTGGCTTTCATGGAAGTCTTCGAGCGCCGGCGGCTCCGCGTGGTGCTGGAGATCACCAGCCTGGACCTCTGCTACCCGGAGAAAGTGGCCGGAGTCTTCAACGCCATGGCCACGCTGCTGTCGGACGCCAACGCGCCCTTCATCTTCCTGCTGGCCGTGGACCCCAGCGTCATCGTGCCGTGCCTGGAGCAGACGGGCTGCATGAAGGGGCTGGCGGACAACGGCTACCTGTACCTGAACCGCGCCGTCACGCTGCCCTTCTCCATCCCCGAGATGGGCGCCCGCTCCCGCCTGCGCAGCGTGGCCGCCGCCATCCAGACGCGCGAGGACCTCATGTACCGCATCATCGCCGGCAACGTCGCCAAAACCCGCGGCGGCTGCTGCGGCGGCGGCGGCGTTCCGGAGGCGCCCAGCTGGAAGGAGGCGGATTCCGAGGCGGTGGCGTGGATCCACGAGGCGTTCCGGTGCCTCCACGACGGTTGCGACGTTTTGAGCCGCTACCTGCCGGAGAACGGCGCCAACGTCCGGCGCATCGTCAACACCATCCCCATCACGCTGCGGCTGCTGCTGCACCGCCCTGGGTGGTGCTGGCCGACCGCTGGCCCTGCCGCCTCAGCTGGACGCTGCAGTGCCTGGAGGACGCCGGGCAGGGCGCGGCGGCGCCGGGCGGCTCGGGGAAATCGCTCTGGAGCGTCTTCCAGGAGCACGCCGGCGAGCTGAGCGCGCTGCGGCAGCCGCTGGGCAAGGTGCTGAGCCTGGACGGCGACCCCGAGCTCTTCCAGGCCTTCCTGGCGCGGGATTTCCCCTTCGGCGCCGGCGAGGCGCGGCAGCTGCTCGGCGTCACCGTCAACCTGGACCATTCCATCCGGCAGCAGATGGGGCTGCTGCGGGCGCTGGCGCGGCTGGGCAGGGCTGCGCCCGTGTCCCGAGGGGTGCAGTGCCCCGGCGCCCGGTGAGCCCCGCCGGGAACGGGGTTTGGGGTCGGGATTTGGGGATTTGGGGTCGGGATTTGGGGATTTGGGGTTGGGATTTGGGGATTTGGGGATTTGGGGTCGGGATTTGGGATTTGGGATTGGGATTGGCACTGGCAGCAGATGGGGCTGCTGCGGGCACTGGGCAGGGCCGCGCCCGTGTCCCGAGGGATGCAGTGCCCCGGCGCCCGGTGAGCCCCGCTGGGAACGGAGTTTGGGATCGGGATTTGGGGATATTTGGGGATTTGGGGTCGGGATTTGGGGTCGGGATTTGGGATTAGCATTGGCAGCAGATGGGGCTGCTATGGGCGCTGGGCAGGGCCACGCTGGTGTCCCACGGGGTGCAGTGCCCCAGCGCCCGGTGAGCCCCACCGGGAACGGGGTTTGGGATCGGGATTTGGGGATTTGGGGTCGGGATTTGGGGATTTGGGGTCGGGATTTGGGGATTTGGGATCGGGAATGGCATCGGTATTTGGAATGGCATCAGGATTCGGGATTGGCATCAGGATTGGGGATTGGGAATGGTATCGGGATTTGGGAATGGCATCAGGAGCAAGATTTGTGACTTGGGATCAGGAATGGCACCGGGATTTGGAATGGCACTGGGATTTGGGATTGGCATCAGGATTTGGGATCAGGAATGGCATCGGGATTTGGGGTCGGGATTTGGGGATTTGGGATCGGGAATGGCATCGGTATTTGGAATGGCATCAGGATTCGGGATTGGCATCAGGATTGGGGGTTGGGATTGGTATCAGGATTTGGGAATGGCACTGGGATTGGGATTGGCATCAGGATTTGGGATCAGGAATGGCACCGGGATTTGGAATGGCACTGGGATTTGGGATTGGCATCAGGATTTGGGATCAGGAATGGCATCGGGATTTGGAATGGCACTGGGATTGGGATTGGCATCAGGATTTGGGATCAGGAATGGCACCGGGATTTGGAACAGCACTGGGATTTGGGATTGGCATCAGGATTTGGGATCAGGAATGGCATCGGGATTTGGAACGGCATCGGGATTTGGGATCAGGAATGGCACCGGGATTTGGAATGGCACTGGGATTTGGGATTGGCATCAGGATTTGGGATCAGGAATGGCACCGGGATTTGGAACAGCACTGGGATTTGGGATTGGCATTGGGATTTGGGATCAGGAATGGCACCGGGATTTGGAATGGCACTGGGATTGGGATTGGCATTGGGATTTGGGATTGGCATCAGGATTGGGGGTTGGGAATGGCATCAGGATTTGGGAATGGCATCAGGATCAAGATTTGTGACTTGGGATCAGGAATGGCACTGGGATTTGGAATGGCACTGGGATTGGAATGGCATTGGGATTTGGGATTGGCATCGGGATTGGGGATTCGGATCAAGATCCAGATTTGTGATTTGGGATCAGGAATGGCATCAAGATTTGGGATCGGGATTTGGGATCTGGGATGGGAACTGGCACTGGGATTCGGGATCAGGAACGACATCGGGATTTGGGAATGGGATCAGGATTTGGGATCAGGAATGACATCGGGATTTGGGAATGGGGTCGGGATTTGGGATCAGGAATGACATCGGGATTTGGGAATGGGATCGGGATTTGGGATCAGGAATGACATCGGGATTTGGGAATGGGATCAGGATTTGGGATCAGGAATGACATCGGGATTTGGGAATGGGATCAGGATTTGGGATCAGGAATGACATCGGGATTTGGGATCAGGACTTGGGATTGGCATCAGGCATGGGATCAGGATGTGGGACTGGGGATTTGGGATTGGCATTGGGATTTGGGATTTAGGATCAGCATTTGGGATCGAGATTGGGATCAGGACACCACCGAGGGCAGGGTGAGCTCCTGGAGGATTTGGGGATCTTTTTAGGGGAACGGGAATTGGGAATTCTGGGGATTTATCCCAGAATTGTGATCCTGGAGATGCTGGAGGGGACTGAGGAGATCCAGGGGGAATTCCTGGGTTTTATTCCTGTTTTTTGGAGATGTTGGATGGGTTTGGGATGATATAAAGGGAATTTATTGGTTTTATTCCCAGTTTTTGTCACTGGGAGATGCTGGAGGAGACTGGGATTGGGAATTCCAGGGTTTTGATCCCAGATTTTGGAGGTGCTGGAGGGGACTGGGATGATCCAGAGAAAATTCCAGGGGTTTTATTCCCAGTTTTCGGGACTGGGAAATGCTTGGAGGGGACTGGGACGATCCAGGGGTATCCCAAGGATCCTGGAATCCGAGGGAATTTTGATCCCTCCACCCTGAGACATTTTTGGGATCTCTTCCCAAAACTTGGGTTCTTTTGGGAGGGAAAATCGGGAAGGAAAATTGGGAAAATCCTCACAAAAAAAGGCCCAAATCTGAGCCATTCCCAAACTCCATCCCACCCGGAATTCCCAGGAAAACCCCCCAGGATCATCCCCCAATAAAGAAACTTCCACCCCCGGCTCTGTATTTTGGGATTTTTTCCCCCCCACAAATCCATGAATTCCCAAAATCCTGGAATTGTGGGATGAGCCCCCAAAAAGAGGGCGGGTGACGAATGCAGAATTCCTTTAATTAGAAAACAGCCGTTAACAAAAATTCCACCACGGGGAAAAACGAGGGGGGGAAAAAAACCCAAAAAAACCGGGAAAAGACAGAAAAAAAAAACAAACCCCAAACCCAGGAAACACCAGCGAAAATTCCCGGTCGGAATATTGGGAATATCCCCCCGGAATTCCAATCCCCCTCCCCCCCGCAGCTCCCTGAAAGATTTTATTGCACTTAAGAAAGAAAAGCGACCCCCGGGAATTCCCAGGGAATTCCGGGAATTCCGGGCTGGGAAATCCCCGCTGGAATTTCCCCTCCCCCACACCTCTGGAAATTTGGGATGGCCGAGGAATTCCAGCCCCTCCCTCCTCCCCTTTTCCACCTTCCCCGTTTTCCCGGGAATTCTGCGGCTGGTGATAAATAGAGACGGGGAAAAAAGGGGGAAAAACCAGAAAAAAAGGGGGAAAAAAAACCGGGATAAAATTCCCAAAGAAACCAAAACCACCGGAAAGGAAGGGAAATTAAAAATAAATAAAGCGTGGGGGGGCCGCGGGAGCAGCCCATCCCGGGATTTTTTTTAGGGACGGAATTCCCAAATTCCCGCCGCTCCAGCCACTCCCGCTCCCTGTAGTGTCGCCGGATCCCGCCGGGAATGACCCCGGGAATTCCCGGGAGATCAGGAAGGTCCCGGCTCCTTCCCTGCCCCCTCGGAGGCGGGAAAAGTCAGGAGAAATCGGGAAAAAAAAAAAAAAAATTCCGTTGTTTTTTTTTGTTGTTTTTTTTTTTTTTGCGTGTTTCGCGTTTTTCTTTTCCCAAGAAAAGTCCCGAAATTCCCGAGGTTTGGTTGGAATCTTGTGCGGAGTTGGGGAGAGGGGGAAAGCTCCGGAGCCTCCCCCTCCAGGACCTGTGGGAAGAGCGGGATGGCTGCAATTCCCTGCAATTCCCAGAAATAATTCCCAGAAATTCCCTGGAATTGCCAGGCCCGGGAAGAGCCGGAATTCCGGGATTTTTTTCCCGGGCTCACCTGCGGTCACAGCGGCTCCGGAGCCGTGTCCTGGCTGGCCTCCAGGAGCAGCTCCTGCAGCTCCTGCTCGTTCCGGGAGCAGCTCAGCTCTGCGGGGACGGAGCGCGGAACGTTCCGGAACCGGCCCCGCAATTCCAGGCATTCGGGAATTCCCTGCTCCTTTCCCTTTTTTCTGGTTCCCAACCCAAGGATTTGGGATTTTCCTGCTCATTCCCCGTTTCTTCCTCTTCTTAACCCAAGGATTTGGGATTTCCCTGCTCCTTTCCCATTTTTTCCTCTTCCCAACCCAAGGATTTGGGATTTTCCTGTTCCTTTCCCATTTTTTCCTCTTCCCAACCCAAGGATTTGGCAGTTTCCTGCTCCTTTCCCGTTTCTTCCTCTTCTTAACCCAAGGATTTGGGATTTTCCTGTTCCTTTCCCATTTTTTCCTCTTCCCAACCCAAGGATTTGGCAGTTTCCTGCTCCTTTCCCGTTTCTTCCTCTTCTTAACCCAAGGATTTGGGATTTTCCTGTTCCTTTCCCATTTTTTCCTCTTCCCAACCCAAGGATTTGGCAGTTTCCTGCTCCTTTCCCGTTTCTTCCTCTTCTTAACCCAAGGATTTGGGATTTTCCTGTTCCTTTCCCATTTTTTCCTCTTCCCAACCCAAGGATTTGGCAGTTTCCTGCTCCTTTCCCGTTTCTTCCTCTTCTTAACCCAAGGATTTGGGATTTCCCTGCTCCTTTCCCATTTTTTTCAGCTCTTTTCCCAGTTTTTCACCCCAATTCCTGTGGCATTCCCAGTTTTTCCTGTTCCCAACCCCGGGATTTGGGATTTTCCTGCTCCTTTCCCAGTTTTTCTCCCCAATTCCTGCTCCTTTCCTGTTTTTCCACCCCAATTCCAGCTCCATTCCCAGTTTTTCCTGTTCCCAACCCCGGGATTTGGGATTTTCCTGCTCCTTTCCTGTTTTTCCTCCCCAATTCCAGCTCCATTCCCAGTTTTACACCCCAATTCCAAACTCCCGGGAATGCCCCGAGCCTGGAACTCCCTCTGGAATTTGGGATCTCAGAACCCTCAGAAATCTGGGAATTTGGGATCTCAGAACCCTCAGAAATCTGGAAATTTGGGGATTTGGGATCCCAGAACTACCGGGAATGCCCCAAGCCTGGGAACGCCCTCTGGAATTTGGGAATTCGGGAATTTGGGATCTCAGCACCCCCAGAAATCCGGGATCCCAGAACTCCTGGGAATGCCCCGAGCCTGGAACTCCGTCTGGAATTTGGGATCTCAGAGCCCTCAGAAATCTCGGGAATTCAGGAATTTGGGATCTCAGTACCCCCAGAAATCCGGGAATTCAGGAATTTGGGATCTCAGAGCCCCCAGAAATCCGGGAATTAAGGAATTTGGAATCTCAGAACCCCCAGAAATCCAAGAATTCAGGAATTTGGGATCTCAGAACCCCCAGAAATCCGGGATCCCAGAACTCCCGGGAATGCCCCGAGCCCTCTGGAATTTGGGAATTTTGGGGATCTCACCGTGCTCGGCCGCGCACATTCCCGATTTCCCGTCGCCCTCCGGGCCCGGCTCCGGCAGCGCCCGGGCGAAATCCGCCTTGAGCCCGTTGGGAAGAGGAGAATCCCGGGAGGGGCTCCCACAGGGAATTCCCTCGGAGGCGCCGGCCCGGCGCGGCCGCAGATCGGGAACGGCCCCGGATCTGTCGGGAACAGCCCCGGATCCGTCGGGAACGGCTCCAAATCCGTCAGGAACGGCTCCAAATCCATCGGGAACGGCTCCAAATCCATCGGGAACGGCCCCGGATCCGTCGGGAACGGCTCCAAATCCATCGGGAACGGCCCCGGATCCATCAGGAACAACCCCAGATCCACCAGGAACGGCCCCGGATCCGGCAGGAACAGCGTTGGATCCATCGGAAATGGCCCCCAATCCATCGGGAACAACCCCAGATCCACCGGGAACGGCACCAAATCCGTCGGGAACAACGCTGGATCCGACGGGAACGGCTCCAGATCCATCGGGAATGGTGCTGGGCGTGACAGGAACGGCTCCAGATCCATCGGGAATTGTCCCGGATCCATCGGGAACGGAGCTGGATCCGACGGGAACAACCTCGGATCCATCAGGAACGGCTCCAGGTCCATCGGAAATTGTCCCAGATCCATCGGGAACAGCGCCAGATCTGTCGGGAACGCTCCTGGATCCTTCAGGAAAAGTCTCAAATCCATCGGGAATGGCACCGGATCCCTCAGGAGCGTCTCCAGATCCCTCAGGAACGGCTCCAGATCCCTTGGGAACAGTCCCAGATTCCTCTGGAACGACCCCGGATCCCTCGGGAACGGTCCCAGATTCCTTGGGAATGACCCCGGATCCCTCAGGAACGGTCGCAGGTTCCTTGGGAATGACCCCGGATCCCTCAGGAACGGTCGCAGGTTCCTTGGGAATGATCCTGGATCCCTCGGGAACAGTCCCAGATTCCTTGGGAATGACCCCGGATCCCTCAGGAACGGTCCCAGGTTCCTTGGGAATGACCCCGGATCCCTCGGGAACGACCCCGGATCCCTCGGGAACGTTCTCCACCCGCGTCACCACGAAGATCTTGCGGCCTCTGCCGGGGCTGGAGATGGAAATCCTGCGCTCGCCATTCCCGGAATTCCCGGAATTCCCAGATTCCACAACCTCCCTCGAGTCCTTCCCATCCTCCTCCTCCTCCTCCTCCTCCTCCGTGTCCGAGCTGGAATCGCCGGCCGGGGCGGCGTCGCCGTTCTCCTCCGGGGCGGGGGAAGCGCCGGCGGGAATTCCTCCGGGAATTATTCCGGGCCCTCGGGAACGACCCCGGATCCCTCGGGAACGGTCCCAGATTCCTTTGGAATGACCCCGGATCCCTCGGGAACGGTCCCAGGTTCCTTGGGAATGACCCCGGATCCCTCGGGAACGACCCCGGATCCCTCGGGAACGGTCCCAGGTTCCTTGGGAATGATCCTGGATCCCTCGGGAACAGTCCCAGATTCCTTGGGAATGACCCCGGATCCCTCGGGAACGACCCCGGATCCCTCGGGAACGACCCCGGATCCCTCGGGAACAGCCTCGGATCCCTCGGGAATGTTCTCCACCCGCGTCACCACGAAGATCTTGCGGCCTCTGCCGGGGCTGGAGATGGAAATCCTGCGCTCGCCATTCCCGGAATTCCCGGAATTCCCAGATTCCACAACCTCCCTCGAGTCCTTACCATCCTCCTCCTCCTCCTCCTCCTCCGTGTCCGAGCTGGAATCGCCGGCCGGGGCGGCGTCGCCGTTCTCCTCCGGGGCGGGGGAAGCGCCGGCGGGAATTCCTCCGGGAATTATTCCGGGAATTCCGGGCTCGGGATCGCTGCCGGAGATCTCGGGCATGGAGGCCGAGTGCTGGAGCTGCTGCTCCTTCTCCTCCTTCTCCTTGGCCAGGATGAAATTCCGCTTGCAGCCGTTCTGGATCTCGGCCAGCAGCGCCTTCTGCGTCTCCAGGAAGCTCTTGACCTGCGCGGAAAAATCCGGGAATGGCGGGAAAATCCCGGGAAAACCCCTCGGGAACCGCGGTTTGAGGGCTGGTGGAGCTGGCCCTTTAAGAGACGGGGTTTTGGGATGGGAATTGGGGAATTTTGGGGTTTTTCCCAAGTTTTTTGGGGGGGTTTCGGATTGGGATTTGTTGGAGAATGGAGATTCGCAGAATTCCCAGAATTCCCGCTGGGAATTGGGGAAATCCAGAGGATCCGGCCTCAAAAATGGATTCTTGCCGCTGGGAAAAGACCCCAAAAATGTGGGAATTGCATCTTGGAGATTCCCAAAATTCCCGGAGCTGGGAATGATCCATTAGCCCCAAAACCCCCCCAGGGGTCAATTCCCAGGAAAATTTGGCAAATCCAAGGAAAAACCTGGAAAATCCACCAGGAACCAAAATCCCAAATCCCCGACTCCCACCACCTCAGGTGCCATTTCCCGCTCCGGAATGCTTCGGAATCCCAGGGATTTTTGGGGAATTCCTGGAATTTTTTGGGAATTTCACTAATTTTTTGGTAATTTCAGAAATTTTTTGGGAATCCCATGGATTTTTGGGAATTCCAGGCCACACCACCTCCTCCCTGAGCTCGTGCCCAAACCCCAAATCCCAACGCCTCAGGCGCCATTTCCCGCTCCGGGAACAGCCCCAGAACTGCGGGGATTTTTGGGGAATTCCTGGAATTTTTTGGGAATTTCACTAATTTTTTGGTAATTTCAGAAATTTTTTGGGAATCCCATGGATTTTTGGGAATTCCAGGCCACACCACCTCCTCCCTGAGCTCACCTTCAAACCCCAATCAATTCCCAGGAAAATTTGGCAAATCCAAGGAAAAACCTGGAAAATCCACCAGGAACCAAAATCCCAAATCCCCGACTCCCACCACCTCAGGAGCCATTTCCCGCTCCGGAATGCTTCGGAATCCCAGGGATTTTTGGGGAATTTTGGGAAATCTTCCAGGAATTTTGGGAAGTTTTTCTGAGTGCCATGAATTTTTGGGAATTTTGGGAATTCCGGGCCACGCCACCTCCTCCTTGAGCTCACACTCAAACCCCAAATTCCAACGCCTCAGGTGCTGTTCCCAGCTCTAGGAACGCCCCAGAACCGCGGGGATTTTTGGAGAATTCCGGGAATTTTGGGAAAATTTTGGGAATTTCATGGATTTTTGGGAATTCCAGGCCACACCAGCTCCTCCCTGAGCTTGTGCCCAATCCGCAAATCCCAACGCCTCAGGCGCCGTTTCCCGCTCCGGGAACGCCCCAGAACCGCAGGGATTTTTGGGGAATTCCGGAAATTTTTTGGTAATTCTGGGAAAATTTTGGGAATCCCATAGATTTCTGGGAATTCCAGGCCACACCACCTCCTCCTTGGGCTCCATGAATTTTTGGGAATTTTGGGAATTCCGGGCCACGCCACCTCCTCCTTGAGCTCACACTCAAACCCCAAATTCCAACGCCTCAGGTGCTGTTCCCAGCTCTGGGAACGCCCCAGAACCGCGGGGATTTTTGGAGAATTCCGGGAATTTTGGGAAAATTTTGGGAATTTCATGGATTTTTGGGAATTCCAGGCCACACCACCTCCTCCCTGAGCTCACCTTCAAACCCCAAATTCCAACGCCTCAGGCGCCGTTTCCCGCTCTGGGAACGCCCCATAACCGCGAGGATTTTTGGGGAATTCCGGGAATTTTTTGGGAATTTCATGAATTTTTTGGTAATTTCAGAAATTTTTTGGGAATCCCATGGATTTTTGGGAATTCCAGGCCACACCACCTCCTCCCTGAGTTCACCTTCAAACCCCAAATTCCCACGCCTCAGGCGCCGTTTCCCGCTCTGGGAACGCCCCATACCCGCGAGGATTTTTGGGGAATTCCTGGAATTTTTTGGGAATTCTGGGAAAATTTTGGGACTCCCATAGATTTCTGGGAATTCCAGGCCACACCACCTCCTCCCTGAGCTCACCTTCAAACCCCAAATTCCAACGCCTCAGGCGCCGTTTCCCGCTCCAGGAAAGCCCCAGAACCGCGGGGATTTTTGGGGAATTCCGGAAATTTTTTGGTAATTCTGGGAAAATTTTGGGAATCCCATAGATTTCTGGGAATTCCAGGCCACACCACCTCCTCCTTGGGCTCACACTCAAACCCCAAATTCCTTGTTTTGTTTCTGTTCCCACCAGAGAGCTCAGTCTGCCAAGCTCAAGCAAACTGAGGTCTGAGGCTGTGGTTGCCCTCACCCAAGTCCCACAGTCAGGACTTTTCCCCATCTCAATACATTCTCTTTTCTCCATTCAGTTCTGCCATCTCTTCACTCACCAGTTTCACCACCTGCTGCACAACTCCTCCGGAGCACCTTGTCCTTAATCCTCAAATCCTTTCTATCCTTTGCCCTTAATTCTCTCCCATATTAAACTAGCTGATTTCTTCCAAAAGGCAACATATGTAATTTTATTACATCTGCCACCTTTTCTCAGCTTGTTTTCTTATCCCTTTTCTCACCCTACAGCATTTTGTTCCTTCTCCTAACTAGCCCTTTATTCACTTGCATTTCCCTTCTATTTTCCAATTCCCTGGGAGTCATTTTCATCACTCTCACATATTCTTCTCTATTGTTTTTTGCCATTTTCATCCCGGCTTGGAGACGCTTGGGGAGGAAACACTAGACACACTACATTATATCCAAAAGAGGATACTATAACAATTTTACAGTTAGAAATAATCAGCATTTAAGAAATCCTGGAATTCATGTTGCCTTGCAGGAATGTATTAAGATAGTCAGGTTTCGTGATTACATCTATTTTTACCATATTACTAAAGTCTATATTAAAATACAATTTAAATCTATCTTTGACTTCTTTTGCTTTTATCTATTCATCACACTTGCTTTCAACCCTCTCTTAAAGCCTTACTCATACTTCTCTTTGAAACAGGCAGAAAGTACCTGTAAATCCAATAACTTGAATTACAGAAAAGGTTATTTACTTCCCTCTTAGCAGCTATGTGCACCATTAAGAAAAAAAAAAAAAGGCTTTTTTATTTAAAAATATTGGGTTAAATAACTCAAAATTTGATAACCATAGCATGGACTAGATTCCATCTGGCTAAAGGAAGAACAGACATGGCCTATGCAACAAATGCTATAGAAGTTACTCACATTCACTGGCTACTTTGGATTTAAAGCTCCATCTCAGCCTTAATAGTAAAGTAAAACAGACATATAACATATAGATAACATACATAGTCAGTCATACAGGGCACACCTGTAAGCTGCAAGAATTTCATGGATTTTTGGGAATTCCAGGCCACACCACCTCCTCCCTGAGCTCACCTTCAAACCCCAAATTCCAACGCCTCAGGCGCCGTTTCCCGCTCCAGGAAAGCCCCAGAACCGCGGGGATTTTTGGGGAATTCCTGAAATTTTTTGGTAATTCTGGGAAAACTTTGGGAATCCCGTGGATTTTTGGGAATTCCAGGCCACGCCACCTCCTCCTTGGCCTCGCCCTCAAACCCCAAACCCCCAACACCTCAGGCGCCGTTTCCCGCTCCGGGAAAGCCCCAGAACCATGGGGATTTTTGGGGAATTCCAGAAATTTTTTGGGAAAGTCATTAATTCTTTGGTAATCTCAGAAATTTTTTGGGAATCCCATGGATTTTTGGGAATTCCAGGCCACACCACCTCCTCCCTGAGCTCGTCTCAAACCCCAAATCCCAACGCCTCAGGTGCTGTTTCCTGCTCCAGGAACGCCCCAGAACCGTGGGGATTTTTGGGGAATTCCTGGAATTTTGGGAAAATTTTGTGAATTTCATGGATTTTTGGGAATTCCAGGCCACACCAGCTCCTCCCTGAGCTCGTCTCAAACCCCAAATCCCAACGCCTCAGGTGCTGTTTCCTGCTCCAGGAACGCCCCAGAACCGTGGGGATTTTTGGGGAATTCCTGGAATTTTGGGAAAATTTTGTGAATTTCATGGATTTTTGGGAATTCCAGGCCACACCAGCTCCTCCCTGAGCTCGTCTCAAACCCCAAATCCCAACGCCTCAGGTGCTGTTTCCTGCTCCAGGAACGCCCCAGAACCGTGGGGATTTTTGGGGAATTCCTGGAATTTTGGGAAAATTTTGTGAATTTCATGGATTTTTGGGAATTCCAGGCCACACCACCTCCTCCCTGAGCTCATGCCCAAACCCCAAATCCCAACGCCTCAGGCGCCGTTTCCCGCTCCGGGAACGCCCCAGAACCGCGGGGATTTTTGGGGAATTCCTGAAATTTTTTGGTAATTCTGGGAAAATTTTGGGAATCCTGTGGATTTTTGGGAATTCCAGGCCACACCACCTCCTCCTTGAGCTCACCCTCAAACCCTAAACCCCAAACCCCAACACCTCAGGCGCTAGGAACGCCCCAGAACCGCGGGGATTTTTTCTGGTGGGAATTGCGCGGAATTTTCCGGTAATTCCCGGGGGTTTTTTTTTGGGAATTTGGGGACGCACCGCCTCCTTCTTGGGCTCGCGGTCGAGGTCGAGGCGCAGCAGGGAGTGGTTGACGCGCAGGGCCAGCGACAGCGCCATCAGCCCCCCGGTCTTGATGTCGTTCTCGCGCAGGTCCAGGCGCAGCAGCCGCGGGCTCTCGGCCACGAACTCGGCCACGGCCACGGCCCCTGGGGGGGAA